TTCATGAACCGGATCCTGCCGCTTTCTTCTTTTCAGGGAGGCTCTGTTTGGGTCGAATCTGACCAAGGGAGCATTGAGCGGTTCTATCGGTCCTGTTGGATGTAGCATCAGGTCCTGTGTCGCTTGATTCGGCCTCGCTTCATGCAACGGAGCCTTGGGTTGGCCCGCGGGTGGTGCTTGTGGCATACTGCCCACGTGACATGCACAAACTAGGGGATGGGTCCCTAAAGGTACTTCGGTCTCTAGGGTTTAGACCTCCTGACCCCTCGTGTGGATCACCTCATGTCCCCTTGCACGGTCCCGGCCATCCGCGAAATCTTCCTTCTGAACCAGTGTCTGCGAAGAAAAAGGTGGCCACGCAACCCTTGGCTGGTCCTTCGGGCCCTCAGGTGCACATCGACAACAGTAGACCTCGAGCGAGGCCGGCGTCCAGACCGTATGCGCTGGAAGTATTTTGTGGCAGTGGGGGCCTCTCCATCGCCTTGAGACGGTGGGCCATTGACACCTTGGGCGTGGACCACCTCATGCCCCGCACTGGTGCGCGTTTTCCCATGGTCAGGCTTGACCTTCGCAAGCCGGAACATCAGCGTATCTTGTGGCGTGAGATTCGCCAGACGGATGTGATATGGCTAGCGCCGCCGTGTGGCACAGCCAGCAAGGCCAGAACCATACCCATCAACAAAACATCGCGCGCTGCCGGAGCCCCAACCCCTAGGCCTCTTAGGGGTTCTAGGTTCCCGGAGGGTTTCCCATGGTTGCGCGGGGTGGCCAAGGATAAGGTGGCTAGCGCGAATGCGTTATATGCCTTTGCGAGTAAGGTCTGGTTGTGTGCACAAGAAGCTGGCAAAATCTCCGTGGTGGAAAATCCAGCCTCATCATGGATGTGGCAGACGAAGTGGTTTCGTCGTGGGGTTCATGTGAGTATGGCTCCCGCAGGCAGAAAAAGACTGGCCTTCTGTCTACCATACCTTTGCCCGGAATGCACAAGGTCTGCTCAGGTCGCCATGTCCATTTGCGATGGGGTCCCATCAAATCCAAGCAGGGCTGGTCTTTCGCCACGTCGCAGGAGACTGCGTACCCTCCTGAGTTCTGTAAGGCTGTCGCCCAGGACATCGCTATAGCCTTGCAGAAAAAGGGGTTCTCTCTAACTCAGGAGCCTGAGGCTACTCAGGCCTCGCACGCCGCCATTGCAGCGCAGAAACAGCCTCGCAAAGGTCGTGGACCCGTAGGTCCCTCGCAGTATGCCACAAAAGTGGCCGTCACCATCCCGGCCGTGGATCCGCCGCAGGAGATACCAACCAAGGCGCCGCAGGGCCTCCAGGGTATCCCCATAGGATCCAAGTTGCTGTGGAGTCGCGAGGTCTTAAAAGGGGGGTCTTGGGTTCGCGAGGTTGAGTATGGGGTCTTCCGCACGCCAGAAGTCTTTCTTGAAAAATCTTTGAAAATGGCCCATCCCTTTGATTCACCCGTGTCAATGGATGCACCTAATATGAGAGCTATTGCAACCATACTGTCCGAAGGAGTCGAAGGGATAAAGGCCAAGAGGAAGGCAGCGCTTGACTATTACTGTGCAAGAAAGGTCGCCCTTCAAAAGGACGAGCTGGCGCTCAAAGCCAAAATGCACCCTGACGTTAGGGGGGTGACGCAGCCAAAAAACCTTCTTCTTTTCAAAGAGATGCTGAGAGATGCTTGTGTGGGCGATGACAATCTGTTTCATGATCTTACATCGGGTTTCCGCATCACAGGCGAGCTGGAGCCATCGGGGCAATTTCCTCCCAAATGCAGGGTGGCGGCCTTGTCAGTGGCTGATCTTCGGAAGACGGCGAAATGGGCGAAACACTTGGTTGCGTCATCATGCCGCAGAGCGGCCAAGGATAAAGCCGTGGCTAAGGCTGTGTGGAAGGAATCCCTCGACCAAGTCCAGAGGGGGTGGCTTCGCGGACCATTCAGTTCTTCGGAGATTGATGCACGGCTTGGCCCCGAATGGGTAGCGTCAAAGAGGTTCGGCGTAATACAAGGCGAGAAAATCCGAGCAGTGGATGACCTGTCCGAACACATGGTCAACTCTACTGTCTCCGAGTCGGAGAAGATCGTTCTCGATGGAGTCGACGAAATTTTGGCAGTGGCACGCTTTTTCGGAGGAGCGACCACCGGAGGAGTGCCAGAATTCAAGATCCCAGCACCGGATGGCAGCGTGTTTAGAGGACGGCTGCACGATGACTTCCGAAAGGGTAGAGGCTCCTACGTGGAAGGGCTTTGGATCTTAAAAGTGCTTACAAGCAACTTGCTTGCCACCCGGAGGACAGGTGGGCGTCGGTGCTCGCGGTATTGGATGTTGATCGTGATTGCGTCATGTTTTTCGAATCTTTGGCGCTGCCGTTCGGCGCGACAAGCTCAGTCACAGGCTTCAATAGGACGGCCAGAGCGCTTCGCATCATCATGATAAGACTCTTTTGCTTGGTGTGCACATCGTTTTACGACGATTTCTGCCAGTTGGAGCTTCTTGATTTGGTGGAGTCCGCAAGTGACACTGCGCTTTCCTTGTTGGAGCTCCTTGGATGGGAGGTTGCCAAAGGTGACAAGCTAA